ATAATATTACTCAGTCTGTGATGTTTGGTATTTGAACTAGTATATACATAGGTTTCGACGCATTGGATTTATAGATATCATCAATAGATGGTGAGGATTTACAATTTGACATCATCAAAATTTATGTAGCTAACAACAAAAGGTTGACAAGTGAACATTTTCTGATTGTCAACAAGTAAAATACACGTGTCTGCAAACTAATGTGTTGGACACCTATATCACGTAATTGGTTGTAAAGGTGGTCGGGTGGGGTTCACCGCATGTGATGGAGATGCTCTGCATGGTGAGGTGGGTTCACCGCATATCATGTGAATTCTGAGCACCGATATTTTCAACTTCATTCTCTGCATTGCATTGCGTATACCACGATTTCAGGGGGGTCGTTGAAATTAAACTTGAATTATGTATTTACACAGACACACACACACATGTGAGAGGGTTTTACGCGTTAAAAGTGTCTTTAGAAACATATCTCACATGGATCAGATATTTATGTTCATTGTTTTATTGATTTCTTTACGAAATATTGGAGCCCTGTTACGCGTATGCAGATGTGGATGGTGGTTTCAACTTTCCTATTCATATTGTTATCATACATGATATATAATGGGAGACAACTACCTTTCACAAGGGCACAAAGCCCCAAATTTGGAAGGATCATGAACTGTGGGTTGAGCTATGTGACATTGACTCTCTTAGTTCACATTTTATTACCAAGTATTCTAGCACCGAAAAGTTTAGGGTTTCAGGTGTGAGTGTGAAATCCAACAACAACAAAAAAAGGTGTAAGGGTAAATATGCTCATAAACAAGTAATTAGTTATAACTTAAATTCATTTAACCATTATTGTAGGATCCTGAGTCACTATATTTATCATCTGACATGTGACATGTCAAGATATGTGACAACATTGATGTTTTGGCGTTTCATGATACGAGGGTTAGCGTGTCAAAGTGTTAGAAAAATGCATGGTATGACATGCTAACCCTCACATTGTGGCATGCCAAAACATCCATGTTGGCCCTGACATGACAAGTGTCGCGAATTGTCGGCATAATGCATGTCATAGCATGCCATGCATTCTGTTGACAATTCGCGAGGCTTGTTATGGCGTGCCACGATGTGAGGGTTAGTGTGTCAAGACATGTCATGCCTTGCACTAAGGCGACAACTCGTGAGGCCTGTTATGACATGCATTTTTTTAACAGTTTGCTTACTATTTCGGAATAATGAAAAAAAAAAAAAAAAGATCTAGGAGGGAGTAGGCCTTGGGGCCTTTTTTTATTTTATTTAATAAATTAGTACAAAACAGGACACTAGTGATATATGAATGTGTTCAAACCGGTAAGAACACGTTCATTAGTAGAGCTAAAAATTTACACGCATTCTGACCGGTAAGAACACGTTCATTATGGAGCTGAATATTTACATGCATTCTTACCGCTAAAAACCTTTGTAAATTTGCAGCTCAATTAGTGAACATGTTCTTATCTGTAAGAACTAGTCATATATAATTGCCTACTATGTTGTAGTAATTTAAAAAAAAAAAAAATTTTAAGGCTAGAGGGTCTACACTTTCCTAGATCTTTTTTTTTTTTTACATGCATTTTGCCAACACTTTGCCTACCATTTCAGAATTATTTAGAAGTGAGGCTAGTGTCGGGGCTAATAGTGATGTTTTTGCGTGCCATGATATGAGGGTTAGCATGTCAAAGTGTTAGAAAAATGCATGACATGACACGCTAACCCTTGCATAGTGGCACGCCAAAACTTGTTGTTGGCCCCAACATGACAAGCGTTGCAAATTGTTGGCAGAATGCATTTCATCACACCCCATGCATTATGTCAACCATTCGCGAGGCTTGTTATGAGGTGCCACGATACAAGGGTTAGCGTGTCAAGACAAGTCATAGCTACACTGACTGTAAAACCCTGAAAAATTTAAAATATATGATTATGTGGAAATTTTTGTGAAAGTGAAATGCCCTTATTTGGTTAAGGTAATTTTACGAGGACGTATTTTATCGTATTTCTTGACGTATTTAGAGGACGATTCTACGAGCACGTAGGCGAAAGCCGTTTAAGAGTCCGGATTATAATGGTATACTTACGAACATTTGAAGTTGTTTTACTAAACTATAGTTTTAATTTAAGGGGTGTGCTATCCATACACCCCTTTTTACTTCTCACACACCCTTATTAATTTCTATCCGTTGATCCTTTTCAATTCATCTAATCTGACGATTGGAAACTTAAAAGGTGTGAGCGAAGTAAAAAGGGGTGTGTGGATATCACACCCCTTAATTTAATTAAACTCCCACTAGATGGGAGTGAGAACCAATCAAGGGCTTGGATTCGGCCCAATCAATTAAAGGGGTTATGGGACCAATCAGATTATGAGAAGGGAGGCAGGAACCAATCATAAAAAAAAAAAAAAAAAAAGGAGGGAAAGGAGAGAAGAAGGAGGGGGAAGAACTGAGTCACGCTTCAACCCTCGCCTTTGACCCGTTTCCTCCATAATTTTCGATGGTTTTCCATGAATTAGACCAAGCTACCACTCCCAAACATCATATAGCCCTTCCCTCTTCCTTTTCCACCCCATATTTAGAAGAAAATTGTTGTAAATGGGTGGAGAACCGTCGGTGGGTGCGATGGGTTCGTGCGAGAAATCCCAAAATCCTGAAGCTATTCCCACCAATTACCAGCACCATTAGACTCCCCATGAGGCCTTGAATAAAGCCCAAGCCTTGGTTAGGGCGGTGGAGCACAGGAGGTGGCGGATCGAGGTCACCCAATTTCTAGCGTTCCGACAGTTCGTGGCCAAATTCAAGTATTTTCAGGATGAATTAGACCTCGGCCAAGGTATGAAAAATGTTCCTTTCCTTGAGTTGTACATTCCTGCAAAATTTGGTAATTTTTGAAAATAGTTGAAATTTTTCGATGAGTCGGGACGGCTGACCTCCATGCACAGCAGCACATGCGGCGGTGCGTGGCCAGTGAGCCAATGCTACCATTTTATGCGTATTTCAATACACTGAAACCATATTTGATAAGTATTTGGTATGACTCACTTGTTTGAACCTAGTTAGTGATTGTTAGTCACTTGAATGATTTTTGGAAATGAGTTAGAAATTGAAATTGTGAACTACGAATGGCTTGATCCCTTTGTAGGGTACGTAGGCAGTCTAACAAGAAGGTTAGATGCAGCCATAAAAAAATAACTGAGATTTAATCTTTTCTTGAAAATTGTCTAAGAAAAGGAATTCAGTGATCATCTTCCAAAATAAATTTTGGGCCTATCTTAGTTTTTGCTTCTAAATATAAATTTTCGGGTCGTTACACTAACACTCACGTCCTGACACGGCATCATTTTACCAACACTTTGCCTACTATTTCGGAATAATTTAATACATGTCACGTCATCCTAATCCAATAACATTCCCATCAAAATGCATGCCATGACATGTCATTGCATATCAACATCGATGTTTTGGTGTGACACAATGCGAGGGTTAGCATGTCAAAGTGTTAGAAAAATGCATGGCATGACACGGTAACCCTTGCATCGTGGTACGCCAAAACATCGATGTTGGCCCCAACATGACAAGCGTTGCAAATTGTCAGCAGAATGCATGTTATGACACACCATACATTATATCGACAAGTCGCGAAGCTTATTATGGCGTGCCATAATGGGAGAGTTAGTGTGTCAAGACATGTGACATGTCGCGAAGCTTACTTGTTGACCATCGCATGCCAACAACAATGTTTTGGCATGCCACGATGCGAAGGTTAGCCTGTCAAGACAAGTCATGGTTTGTCAAGACATGTCATGCCCTGCATTCTGGTGATAACTCATGAGGCTTGTCATGACATGTATTTTTATAACACTTTGCCTATTATTTCGGAATAATTGAAAAAAAAAAGATCTGGGAAATAGTAGACCCCGAGGCCTAAAATTATTTTTTTTAGAAATTAGTACAAAACAGGATGCTAATCATATATGAACGTGTTCTTAACGGTAAGAACACGTTCATTATTAGAGCTGAAAATTTACAAAAATTCTTACCAGTAGGAACGCTTGTAAATATTCAGCTCATATATTGAACGTGTTTGAATTAACTCATGTAATCGAAATAAACTCATGTAATCGAATGGAATCCAATCCTCCCACGACAGGTTTGAATTAAACCCCTTCGTACCATATCGTTTCCTTTTCTTTGTCGTCTCCTACACCCTTCTATCTCGTCGTCTTCTCCACTTTTTGTAAAATCACAAAGCACTTGTCATCAAAGTGCTTGCTATGGCTGTGTAGTTTTATTGTGCAATATCCAACTATCTATTGTCTTCCATCATAAAAATATAACAAGCTCCATAATTTGATGGGTGTGTGAAGGGACAGACAAATAACTTTCTGAACCTAAATTTTTTTGGGGTAATGACTAACGTTAGTAAGGGTTGGTTTGGTATTGCTGTGCTTTAAAAAAAAGCTGCTTTTACTGTGCTGTGAGAATAAACAGTTGTGAAATAAAGTAGCAGAGTGTTTGGTAAACTTTTTTGTAAAAGTGCTTTTGGAAAAAAAAAAAAACAACAGTATGATAGTGTTTTGCAAACTTTTATGTAAAACAGCTGTGACTGTGTGAAATGGCCAAAAAGGGTATAATACTATATTATTATTATGATATTATATTTAATATTATTATTTTTATGTGAGGATTTTGTGTGGTCGTGGGCCCACACCCCATTTCCCTTATCCCTGTGTCTTCTTTTCCCTCTACACCCTCGAACTCTCTCGAAAACTCTCAGCTCTCTCTCTCTTTCTCTCTGCATTCTCTCCTCCACCGAGACAACCCCACACACAAACCTTCGATCTCAGATCATCTCACCTCAGCTCTCTCTCTCTGAACTCTCTTTTCCTCCTGCTCGGAATCCTCAATCAATCGCCTGAGCTTGAGCTGAGTGAATGTATTGGTGAAATAGAGAAATGAATTTTGGGGAAATTAGGGTTCTTGATGGGTTTGGAGCCGCCATAGCTCGGTGGACGAAACGATGTCAGAGGCTGGGTCTGTTTTCCTCTGATTTCCGTTCAGGACGTTCTCTGCCAGCTCCCACTCAATCAAGTCCCGGTAAACGACGTCGTCAAGGACTTGGTCGGCGAGCTTCACCCAGCCTTCAAAGTTGCGAGCGCGGAGATTTTTGGAGACCCACTTAAGGTAGGCTGAAGGGAGGGTGCCCATCATCTTGCCCTTGTATTTTCTGAAGTCGATAACTCTGTCTCTGGCAGGCGGCGGTGTTAAGGCGGATAGAGAAGGTGGTTTGGGGGGTTTTGTGGGTTTGAAGGAGCAAGAGAGGCGGAGGGGGTGCGGAGATGTGTGGGAGAGTGGTGGGTTTGACGGAGGAGTGTGGAGGCGGAAGAGAGAGCTCATGGTAGGATTGCCAGAAACTTTCATTAAAGGGTCACTGTTCACCTGTGTTTTAGAGCTTTGCGCAGAAGTTGAAAAGCCAGCTTTTCAAAGCTGCATTTTGCTGCTTCTGTTTTTTGGCTTTTTTTTTTTTCACCCAACCCAAAACCGTGAAAAAAGGCTGAAGCTAGAAGTTTACCAAATACAAAAATGACCCCCAGCTTTTTTTGATACCAGCTTTTTTTAAAATCACCTCAACCCCAAATCATACCTAAATCATACTATTTATCTCTCCCCCTGTGATCGAGTCAAAGAACAAGATTTGATAAAATAAAATAAAAACAATCGAAGAACAATATTTTTTGTGTGTATTTATATCTATTTAATTATCAAGAACGCTCATTTCGTAACTATTATATATCTCTTTTTGAATTGTTAACTGAAATAAATAATTGTAGTCTTTCAACCAGTTGGCATTGTGCGTCGAAAGAAAAGTGGAAAAGAAGGACAAAGAGAAGACTCGTACAGAAATGTATTAGTGCTAAGGTGCAAAATGTGCATTCTATTCTAATATGACGTGGGAGGATTAAATTCGTTAGATTACATGAATGATCAAGACTTGTAAGTGAGAGATTTTAAATTCGATTCTCGCCAAAGGCAAAGTTGAAGCATATTATTATGACAAATCTATTGTAAGGCTTAATCCACTCCCCTACCCCTTAGGGTAGATACTATCTTTTAAAAAATAAAAATAAACTAAATTTTACGTTCTCTAGGTATGCGGTGATCTTCAAAATGGATTATGGGGTTCCATTTTTCTCACATTATACCTTTGATGTTTTGAATTCTTATGCATTCTAATTATTTGACCTCCCAAGCCTTTCATTATATCTATAACATGATAGACTTTAGACTAGTTCTGGGCTAACGTGTAAACAATATTTTCATCACATGAGCAAAAGGATAATACTTCCCTCCCCTCTAGGTTTAATACTATTTTAGAATTTCTATGTGCAATATGAGAAAATTGAAGCATTATGATTCATTTTATCCGCAAAAGGTAGTATTTCCCTTATTTCAAATAAGAATGAAAACTCTCATTTCTCTCTAATGTGATATCATTTCACTTTGTAAAGGTCATAATCCCAACTTTTATTCTTCTTATCATAAATCTAAATATAATATCTATAAAAATTCATTCGAAAGTTGTCTAGACTTGCATCCTCATGGGGAATTGTTAATTTCTTTTATTCATATGATGACTATACTGTTTTCAAATTAAATGAATATTTCTATGCATGATGATAAGAGAATGAACGATTTTGATTATGAAGTTTGCACACTTAAATGACATCACATTAGTAGAGTAAGGGAAAAGTCCCAATAAAGATAATATATCCCTCATTCCTAATAAGGAGAAGATTCCTCATTCCCCACTAACGCGACCGTAAAACATCATCATTCATTCTATTTACATCCTCATCTAAAATGACACGAAAATTTTATTTAATTTGAAGACCGTGTAGTTATTCATAGATTTCGAATAAATCGGTAGTTTAATCACCTCAAACTTGTTGACTGTATAATATCCCCAAAAAATCCTTCTTCCTTGTACAATGTAAGTAGCCCTAAAAAGGAAGGAGATACTCTAATTTGCTTGCATCCGACGGCTCTCTCTCCTTTTCTGACCGGCATCCGACGGGTCAAAAGCCGCCATGCCGCACCTAAACGCAACACAACTCGACACACACAAGCAACTGCTCACGTGCCAATCGTAAAGCCTTGGGCTTCCAGCACGTGATTATCCCTGACATTCACCGCAACACGTGCCTTCCTCCGTCACACGTGTGAACTGTGCCATGGCTGGAGAGAGAGGCTGAACTCCATTTCTCTCTCTCTCTCTCTCTCGTCACACTCTCACTCCGCTTCCCATTTCTTCTTCCTCTACCAATTTCACCTGGTTTCAACCTCTACCTGTATTTGTATAAACGTTGAAAGTTTCATACTTTCTGTTGCTGCTTCTCTGTCAGCATTTATACTGGGCATTTTTTGAGTCGTACCGGTCCTACCGAGTGATTGGTGTTCCCTTTTAGGTGTTTTTTTTTGGGTGGGGTTTTATTTCAGCATGTAAATTTTTTAGTTGGTATGTTGGAGTAAAGTTTATGGGTACATTGGTATATTATGGTTTCTGCAGATTAGATTATTGTTTATCTTATTTGTTTCCAATTGGATTGGCAATTTGGCATGTTAATTGTTTATCTTATTTGTTTGAAGTTTGAGGACTGCTCATGTATTAGACCTGTCTTCTTGTTGATGACTGAGTTGGGTTTTCTACTTATGAGTTCTGTTAACGTGTTTGCACGTGTATACGAGTCCCATTGTGACCCGGTTATAGCTCCTGATGTTGCAACCGGTGTAAACCCTCAGCCTTTTCTTCCTTTATTAGCCCCTTCACCATTGACGCCATTCACGAATAACAGCGTCCCAGCATTATCAGGTACGAGGAGCAATGTCAAGAGTACTTCTTGTGAATTACCATGTGATAGGATTAGTCGTTCTCTAAGAAGATAAAGTCCGGCGAGTTTATCTATCAATTAGAAGTTGAAAGCATCCTACATTGTCCAAGTTCTAGTGAAGAATCTTCTAGTAGTTTTAATTAGGTTGCACACTTGAAGTTTGAATGGTTCACTTAGTGCAGAAATCCATTAGAAGATGCTTAACAAATAGGCACCTTTATGTCATGGAAAATGTGGAGAAGCACATGATGGTTCGTTATATGTTTCAGGACTCTGTACATAAATTTTTCAGTCGCTGTAAATATGATGACCATAACAGCAACTGACTGCTGGGCTTTCTTCGCACCCTTATTGGCCTGATGTAGTTTGTTGTCCTCAATTTGACGCCACCTTGGCGACTCTTATAGGACGCTCAAGTAAATCCTCTGGGATGCTCTCTTTGAATGCAACTCATGCTAAACACTGCCTCTCAGATGTTGAGAAGATCCTAGAGGGTCAAGGAGCAAACGAGAATATTCAAAAGATTTGCTCAATTCGACCAGAAAACCTTACTGCAGCCTCTTGCCCTGTTACAGAGGTTGATATGTTTGAGAGCACTGTGGATTCTTCAAAACTAGTTGCTGCTTGTAAAAACGTTGATCCCGTCAATGAGTGTTGTGATCAAGTTTGCCAAAATGCCATATTAGATGCTGCTAGAACAATTGCTGCGATTGGTATGCCAAATTCGGAAGGGGTCCACGAGTTGCCTGAGCACTCAACTAGGATTGATGATTGTAAGACTCTTAGAGGACTTTCAAGTTGCAAAGTAAATAAAGGTCAGCACACAAATAGCTTAAGGACCCTTTTATTTCAGAGTTATCAATCATATGTTGACTTATAGATCTTCAATGGTTTTGTTGCGTATAGTTCAGTGTGTCCTCTGGTTTCCCCAACATGACAAATGTTGTGAAAGAATGTGCAAATGCGATAAGCAATGAGACAGCATGCTGCAATGCAATGGATAGTTATGTTTCCCGGTTGCAAGAACAGAGCTTCATTACAAACTTGCAGGCCTTGAATTGCGCAGCATCACTTGGAGAAAAGTTGCTGAAAGCTAATGTGTCCAATGTTTATAATCTATGTCGTATAAACCTCAAGGACTTCTCTCTTCAAGGTCAGTGTTGTTATATCTGATTGGATGAACGAATACCGTATATAATCTTCTTTCAGTTCTTCATTTTGGCGAAAACTGATACTGATTAGCATATTCTTTTCCGATTTATTGTTCGTGGGGGTGGATTTTACTAATTGGATGCACCAGTTGGTTCACAAGGTACTTCTTAATATATCATAGAAACATACAATTGGCCTCGCTTTGCCTCGACTCTGCTCTCATTTTCTCCCTTATTCTCCTATACTGTGACAGTAATAATGGTTTCTTGTGTGTTGTAGGACTTGAAGAAGGAAATGTAAGAATTCGGAATACTTGCTTACTAATTTACTAAAATTAGAAGCACAAACTTATATGACAGAAGCTTTGAATGATTAGCCGATGCCACATCAGCTGATTTACTTTTAATCAAACGTTAACAAACCATTAGCTAAGCTAACAAGAATTATCGTATGCTTGTATCTGTACTAATGATACAATGAGGATGAGTTTGAGATAATTTTGACGTATCATATAAAAATAGTGAAAGTGTATCAGACTAACAATTTCTGTTTGTAGTATCATCTAGGCCCGTTCTTTTCATATGGTTAATATGAACAAATACTTAAGCATATCGTTCTCAATGAATCTGCTATTCTTCGCTCACAAATTTTTCTCTTAAGAATTCTTATCTTTCGTTCTAACTTTTTATTATCCAATGTATTCGCTGCTCTAAAATTGTGTGTTTTCCGTTTATACTGTCAGTAGAGTATGGCTGCCTTCTGCCGAGCTTGCCTTCGGATGCGACTTATGATAAAACTTCGGGAATCCGCTTCGTTTGTGATCTTAACGACAACATTGCGGCTCCATGGCCGTCTTTGTCTTCTGAATCTCCATCATCTTGCAAGAAAAGTAAGCGAGAAATGTGTTAAGCTCTGCATTTTTTAGTTGAATTTAGTATCCTATGCTCCTTACGGTTTATTCCAGCCACACGTTTTGCACTGCTTTTCATTTGCCTTGTTCAAAACTTGGTGGGGTTGCAAGGACTTTCCAATTGGCTTTTTGTGTGTAATTATTTATTCCTCTGGGTTGATCTGGACAGCCAACGTGGTTAGGCAAGCATAACCCATAGCATTTAAAATATTACTTTTAGACTTTTAGTAGTGTAATATGATGCAAAAGAGAAACTTGTTCTCTGCTTTTAAATTTTAGAAAGTCCAACACAATATGAACACCTACTATGCCATGATAAACTTGATTTCCAACACTTGTGCATATGAATTCAATGATTGAAAATGATACAATTTTATATTAGTAAAAGTCGTGCATTTACGGATTTACCCCTATACTGATTAAGGAGAGGGGATTCGTATCTGACTCACTAGCTTATCTCATATTTGCTTAAACACTGAAGATTAAAAGTACAATTTTTCATAATAAGCTTTCAAATAATATAGGTTGAACATGGTGACCAAAGAGAGGGGTTCAAATTTGGCCAACTGGACTAACTTATATTTGTTTGAACGCTCAATTTTAAGCTTTCAAACTTTAGAAATATGTAAGTAAAGTTTATAAAGTACAGAAAAAAAAAATCAAATATGTGCACATTAGGGAATTAACTTTCACACTTCTGTCACTCATACTTAATTTTGGTATTTGAATCGAATAAAGCAAAAAAGAATTAAGAAATAAAAACGAAAAGTGATTTTTACAAACTTATTTTTCTCATGCACATATATTTTTTGTCATTAAATTGAATAAATCAGAGTAGAGTGAAAAAACCAATATTATATAGTGGTGCATGGAGAAAAAAAAAAAGATAAAAAATGCATAAAGTAATGAGAGATTTTCAGAGTGTCGTAAACACGGTCTAGTACATCAAACGATATATTTTGTTAGATAAGATGTTAGATTATCTACTAACAGAGTTTGAATTCACACCATCATGCAGGAACTCAACTCATTTCTACCACTATGGTAAATGATCACTTGTTCTGCAAAATAAGAGTTTAGAGACATCGTTTCTTTATTGTATTATTACATTATTACCACGTTGTAACTTTTTTGTTCTTTTTTAGTTCAATAGCAATCCATATGTTCCACGCCTCTCGACATATGGTTTGAATGTTTTGGCTCACAAATCAAAACTTGCAACTTCCACCATGTTTGCTCTCTCCATCTTACATCATCTCTCTCGTTTGTCCAGATCTCACCTATCCCATTTGTCACGTACCCCATAGCCATCATTTATCCCTTCCTAATCCTACCTCCTTAAACAAACTTGCCACACCACTCTTCCCGCACCCAGCAGCTGAACCCAGCAGATTGCTTCAAAACCAAAATCTCCCAAATGACTTCTCCCAAAAACGAGCTTCAACATCCTCTGTTGGAAACATACCCTCCCCTTCCGTCCACCAAATCCTTCACCTCAAAGCATGCTCACGAAGAGCAAGCAAGCGGCGAGCTGGAACAAGTACTATGCGACACCGGCAAGCCGTTTTCACAGCGGCTTAAACCCGCCCTATGGATCGAGTCTAAGCTCCTCGTCGTCCTCGCCGCCCCCGCCATCATCGTGTACATGATCAACTATGTCATGTCCATGTCCACCCAAATGTTTTGCGGCCACCTCGGTAATCTCGAGCTCGCCGCGTCCTCCCTCGGCAACAATGGCATCCAAATCTTCGCCTATGGTCTTTTGGTATGCAACGGAATTATTAACAGACTGTTTGGTGATAAAAATTTGATAAAATAATTTTAGTGATCATAGCGTATTTGCATCTTTCATGAAATAAATTTAGTGAATAAATTTTGCGAGTTTTGGTATCTTGGATCGAATAAATCACTAGATTAAATGTATGTAACAGGAAGAAACGTATGTCGATTTTCAGATTTCATCTAAGTTAAACTTGGAAATGTTCAGGAAGGAAACTTAATCTTCTAAATCCGATCATTTTTGGGGAGATTCGAAGTAAAAAAATTCAACTGTCTATTGTCTTCCATCGTAAAAATATAACAAGCTCCATAATATGATGGGTGTGTGAAGGGACAGACAAATAAGTTTCTCAACCTAAATTTTTTTGGGGTAATTACTAGCGTCAGTAAATCTTACTATTTATCTCTTCCCCTGCGATCCAGTCGAAGGACAAGATTTGATAAAATAAAATAAAAACAATCGAAGAACAATATTTTTTGTGTGTATTTATATCTATTTAATTATCAAGAACACTCATTTCGTAACTATTATATATCTCTTTGAAATTTTCAGTCAAAAGGAAAATTGATAATTTGTTCTTGGAATTGAATTATTAACTGAAATATATAATTGTAGTCTTTCAACTAGTTGGCATTGTGCGTCGAAAGAAAAGTGGAAAAGAAGGACAAAGAGAAGACTCGTAGAGAAATGTATTAGTGCTAAGGTGCAAAATGTGCATTCTATTCTAATATGAAATGGGAGGATTAAATTCGTTAGATTACATGAATGGTCAAGACTTGTAAGTGAGAGGTTTTAGATTCGATTCTCACCAAAGGCAAAGTTGAAGCATATTATTATGACAAATCTATTGTAAGGCTTAGTCCACTCTCTTACCCCTTTAGAGCAGTTCCACCGTGGATAATAGCTTGGTGGACTGGCTTTCAAACAGGGCCAGAAAGCCTAAGCAACATGGTCCAGCGTGTGCTGGCGATGGAGCCTAAGCGAGCGCGAGGTAGAGGCCTGGCAGGAGTTGCCAGCCCGAGAGCCCGAAAGGCATGTGACGCAAGGCTGACGTCTGGACGACGTTAGCCACGTGGTGGACGGGCCTGGACAGAGTTGAAGAGCGACAAGACCCTAATGTGGTGGCGGACAGGTTTGGACAGCTCTTCGTGGAGGTTGATCTCGATGTTGGTAACGTTGATATCCTGGAGATAGAGGGTGAGCTTCTCGCCGACTATTCTCCCCAATGCCTCCTCCTCCCTTCGTAAAACGATGCCCAACCGGAGTCCTCCACATCCGCGACACATGTCTCACTCGCCAACACGCCGATCCTCCTGCTCGTCTACTTCCACAAGGCGTTGCAGGCTGAGCTCCTTGATCTCCGCCTCGTGACCACCGCCACCTTGGAGAGTGGATCATGTGACCACCAAGACCGCGACTTCGTTCTCCTGCTTCTGTGGCGGTTTGAGTTCCTCAAGCTCGCGTATGAGTACCACTGCTCTGCAGAAGATGTGGTTAGCTCAAAGTTTCCGAATTGATTAAACGGTTCCTAATTTTTCATAATTTAACTAATTAACTAAATCAATTTATTTAAAGTCGAATTCTTTAGTTCCGAATTAGCTAATTGTTTCTAATTTCTAGAGATTAGAATTGCATAATTTTATTAGTTAATTGCTTGAGCAAACTGTTTTAAAGATGAAAACTTTAGTCAAAATTTGACTAGTGTGAGAAGCTGCATTAACTTTGCAATGGAATTTGCATCTTTAATCTTTAATCTTTAATTTTTACTTTTCTTAAAATAATTATTTTGTATTATTTTATAAATAAAAAAATATTATTATTTTATTACCTATTGTCAGGGCTATTCAGTATAGGGGTGGACATGCAAAAGACAATTACTGTTCATTAAGGACAATTACTGTTCATTAGGTAGATTAAATAGTGAATAGTCCTGAGAGGTCTTAGCAACGGTGGAGTTGCTCTTAGGGTAGATACTATCTTTTTAAAAATTAAAAAATTAAAAAAAAAAAACTATATTTTACATTCTCTAGGTATGTGGCGATCTTCAAAATGGATTATGGGGGTTGCATTTTTCACACATTACACCTTTGATTTTTTGAATTCTTATGCATTCTAATTATTTGACCTCCTAAGTCTTTCATTCTATTCTATCTATAACATGACTTTAGATTAGTTCTGGGCTAACGTGTAAACAATATTTTCATCACATGAGCAAAAGGATAATACTTCTCTCTAGGTTTGATACTATTTTAAAACTTCTATTTGCAATATGAGAAAATTGAAACTTCATGATTTATTTTATCCGCAAAAGGTAGTACTTCCCTTATTTCAAATAAGAATGAAAACTCTCATTTCTCTCTAATGTGATATCATTTCACCATGTAATGGTCATAATCCCAACTTTTATTCTTCTTATCATAAATCTAACTTTTATTCTTCTTATCAGAAATCTAAATATAATATCTATAAAAATTCATTCGACTTGAAAGTTGTCTAGACTTGCATCCTCATGGGGCATTGTTAATTTCTTTCATTCATATGATGACTGTATTGTTTGCAAATTAAATGAATGTTTCTATACATGATGATAAGAGAATAGACGATTTTGATTATGAAGTTTGCACAATTAAATGACATCACGTAAGTAGAGAAAGAGAAAAGTGCCAATAAAGATAATACATGTGATATCCCGTCCCCAAAAATTAATATTTTATTTTATTCTTGACGTATTTCGAAGAGTTGATTGGAACTAGTTCTTTATATCTCCAAATTTAAGAAAAACGAAGTGAGGGGTACTTTAGTCATTTCCAATTTTCTCGACCTTTTCGGTCAACTCTTGAAGTGGTTAGGTAGAGTTCGATTCCATGAGCACATAGGCGTAAACAGATCTTATTTCCGAGTCCGAACAAAGAAGTTGGAGTCATTTGAAGTTGGTGGCATTTTGGTAATTTTACCAAAATGATATATTTGGAGTGAAACCTCCAGAAAAGGGGGAAAGGGAGAGAGCTGCCTAACCCGTTTTAGGGAGAATTTGACCCATAAACCCACCAAACTTGACCTGCTTGTATCTTTTTCATCCGAGCTCCGTTTTGGATGATCTTGGTGTCCATGGAAAGCTCTTGACGAGCCCTACATCTCTATGATGTTAGATTTTCCCATTTATTTTCCATGTTTGCAGTTCGAGGTCGCAAAGTCCACAACTTTTCCGGCGGTTTTATCATTTTTCCGGCGATTCCGGCAACGATTTCCTTCGAGTGAGGTATGAAACTTCATCTACTCTTCATAATCTTCAAGTTGGTATGCTTAGTTTGTGCTTTCGTATTCATTTTAGAGTTGGGTGTTTAGAACCCTATAAATCCGGTTTTCTCCGGTGAAATTGGACGGTTTCCGGTTAGAATTTATCGTCGGCCTAGTTGTGAAAAGTGTTTCCCTTATTGAGCTCTAGCTAAGACGTAAATTTGAGCTCATCTAGTTAATGATGAAATTCGGGGTTTGTAAACCCTCCATCTTGACTTCCACAGCGTGTGGCGGTGCGTGGGATCTTTCACGAGTGTTGTCTAGGTTTCAAATACCTTCTAGTGACCATGTGAACCTATGTCTAGCTTGGTTTCCAAAGATTCAATTGTTTGGTGTGGTGATCAATTTGGACCGCCACTTGTTTGTGTGACTGACGACAATCCGACCAATGGATTATAATGAAACCTTAGTATGTTATTCTCGAAGCATAATGTGAACTTTGGGAAGTTATGGATCATAAATTTCATATGCGGATCGTTGTGGACCCCATCGTTGACCGAAAGTTGAATTATGGTCAACATGTCTCGAAACGTTCTAAATAATAAAATTAGTACTATGGGAGACTTAAGTGAAGTCTAGTGGGCCTACATTGGTTAGAGAGTGACTTGAACATATGTGATATGGTTATTACCTTGATTTCTTATATTGGCATCATCTGTGAATTTGACTTGGTCTTATAATGTGATTCTATTGAAATGTGATTATATATACATTTAGCCATAGACCTAAGTTTATTAAATATGATTTGGCTTGTGTACTAATGATGATCGTGATATGTGATTTGACATGCATATTCGAAAGGTGGTTGATTTACATAGATGGTATGATATGATGAAATGTGAGCGACTTAATATATGTGAATATGAAATGGTTTTATAATCATTTTTCCTATAAATTGTTAATTTTCATATTTAGCCAATGATATAGTTATATGAAGTGGGATTTGACGTGCATATTGGAAATATGGTTTGTTTTGTATGATTGGCTTGATTTGATAAGGTGAGGGCTAGTGGTGGACCGTTAACCTATTGTCATGGGTTTGTTGCTTTGAAACATGTGTCAATGCTCGTTTCATTATTTCATTTCTTGTTTCGTTGAGCCTTTATAACTTGAGTAACTTGATTCATTGATTGGTGGTTATGCAATGTACTCCGCGATTCCGTTGAGTGATGATCCGGAATCGTATTCTGGTTTGGATTCCGTTGAGTGATGGTCCGGAATCCTTCCTACTCCACTCCACGATTCCGTTGAGTGATGGTCCGGAATCCCTCGTACTTCGTGATCCCGTTGAGTGATGGTCCGGGATTGTCTCCACCTTAGTTCATTGAGTTTAGTTTGAGATGGTTGCAAATGTGTATGCTTTGGATGAACTGTGTCGCCCTACTTCTACTTTCATTGTGTGTATGTTATGGTTGTTTGAAATGAACTTTTGGATGTTTGGGTGACTCCCTCGGAGTTTTCAAAAGTTTTGTATTGATTTCTTATGAAAGATTTATATTCAAAGTTTATAAATTATGATTGATGGTTGGTTTTATTATTGTATCACATGCTTATTTTATTGTCCCTCACCCGAGCCTCTCAGCTTATCTGAGTGCCTGATTTGCTAGTGCACCAATTCCATAATATTGGCATTGACTTTACATATGACAGGTCTGGGTAGATTATGAGAAACCGCTTGATATTTTGGTTCCGTTGAGTGGTCCGGAACCCAATGTTATTGGATTCCATTGAGTGGTCCGAAATCCTTGCTCTTGTTCATTCTGTAAAGTGATCTTAGAATCCTAAATTCGAGTAGATGGGAATTACCCACAATAGATATTGTGAAAATAAATTACAATCGTCATGTTATTATTCATAACAAGTTGGGAATTATGTAGAGTTCTTTAATTAAATTCGTGAAATGATATGTTATCTCACTGATTGATTAACATAATTAAATATTAACATTGTGCTTTGTGATTCCTTGATATGTTACAAGCTATGTATTAAGATATAATGTTGGAAGTATAGTGAATTGGTAAGATGAAGTGAAATGTGATTTGACTTGTGTATTGGAAATAGTTGTGACATGTGATTGAAATGCATATTGAATTGCTTAGGAGATGTGAGGTCTAGTAATTGGCCGATAAACCATTGTGATGTGGATTTGTTGCTCGATATTGTTTCATTTCGTTGAGTTTTGGCAATTGAGTAACTTGAATCAGGTCTTGTTCCTTCGAGCCGTTGTTATGTTTCTTGGACTTCCGTTCAATTCGATTGGGTGGTCTGGAACTGAGTTCTGTTTGGATTCCGTTGAGTTATGGTCCGGAATCCCCTTTGATGCTTTGGTTCCGTTGGGTGGTCCAAAATTTCCCTTTTTCAAAGAAGTAGTCTTCAACCGAATTGTGTTGCTCTAGCCTTGCATTTCGACATGTTGTATGTGTTATTGATGATGTGATGGTTGACATTATTGATTGATGTGATTATGCAATGACGTTGGATATAAGTATGGTTATCATGAGTATTTTAGTAGATTAATATTTCTAGAGAATAATGTGTACTTTGTTAATTCTTAACTATGTTACACACTATGAAATGCGATTTTATGTGGGAAACGTGATGAATTATGTGATGTGATGGATGAAGTGGAAATGTCAATCATCATGTGGGATTGTTATGTTGGTTATCATGGTTATTGTTATGACTAGACTTGTTGATAAATGTGGCTAGAGAATGGTATTGTACATCGTTGGTTCTTTGAAATGATATATGTTGTGAATTGCGGTATCATGTTGTGACATAATGGCCTATATATTGATGGAGGGGAAATCATGATTTTCAGATGGGTTTGTTATGTAACCCTGAGTCTAGTATTTTCATGCTTGTCAAGTTCTATTGATTGATTGAGAAATGTTATACCTTTCGACTTAATCGGACTGTGTTATATGTCAATTATTGTGCATGACGAACTACGAATGACTTGATCCCTGTTTAGGGTACGTAGGCAGTCTAACGGGGAGGTTAGATGCAGTCATAAAGCGTACGAAAAATAACTATGCGATTCAATTATTGAGTTGTGCTTGCCATATCCCGGAGGTGGGATATGATAGATACGGATTTTTGGTGACGTCACGTGTGAATTCTAGACGTATGTCGGGATTGGGGCGTGATAATACATCCCTCATTCCTAATAAGGAGAAAATTCCTCATTCCCCACTAACGCGACCGTAAAACATCATCATTCATTCTATTTACATCATCATCCAAAATGATATGAAAATTTTATTTAATTTGAAGACTGTAGTTATTCATAGATTTTGAATAAATCGGTAGTTTAATCACCTCAAACTTGTTGACCGTATAATATCCTTAAAAAATCCTTCTTCCTTGTACAATGTAAGTAGCCCTAAAAAGGAAGGAGATACTCTAATTTTCTTGCATCCGACAACTCTCCTTTTCTGACCGGCATCCGACGGGTCAAAAGCCGCCATGCCGCACCTAAACGCAACACAACTCGACACACACACGCAACTGCTCACGTGCCAACCCTAAAGCCTTGGGCTTCCAGCACGTGATCATCCCTGACATTCACCGCAACACGTGCCTTCCTCCGTCACACGTGCGAACTGTGCCATGGCTGGGGAGAGAGGCTGAAATCCATTTCTCTCTCTCTGTCGTCACAATCTCACTCCGCTTCCCATTTCTTCTTCCTCTGCCAATTTCAGCTGGTTTCAAACCCTAAAATCTCCAAATGTTACTTATCAGATGTTGATGTTGGAAACTAGATAGACACTGAACAAATGCAAGAATGAGAGAAAGGGTCTCTCACATTCTTCTTACTCTACTTCTCCTTCTCTGTAAGCGATTCGGCTTATCTCCTTTTTCTTCAATTTTTCCATTGTCCATACTAAATTTTTTAAATTTTCTGTGATTTCATTAAAATTTT